AAAGATAAAAGAAAAGGAGAAAGAATAGAAATGAAAAATAATAATAATAAAAGTTGGGATAAACATGAGTGATCCCAAATTGTATAAATCTAATATCTCAAGTATCACAAATTTTTATTTCTTTATCAGATGAGTATTGAATAGAAATCCCCTATCCCTATTCTTTAACCTATTTTTCTTACAGATATTTTCTTTATAAATAATGTTGCACTTTGTTTTTTTTATGACAAATATCAATTTTCCCTTATTTTATTTATGTTACCTTATTACTTATATATTTTAAAAATTTTAATTATATAAAGATTAAAAATTAACTATATTAAATAGAAAATAGAAAATTAAATTAAGTAATTGTATTTTATAATTTATACATATGCATTATATTTTTATTCAATATGAAATAAAATCATTTTTCACTAGAATTAAAAGTGTTACTCAAACAATTAATGGATACAAATGATTTTTTAATTTATTTTAACATCAAGTAACTAAAAAGATTCAAATCATTTTACTTGGTGTTAAAATAAATTAAAAGTAAAGAAATGTTATCAACATGGTTGGTTCAAGTGGTATGCAACTTGATATCGCTTAAGCATGTCTCAAGTTCGAGTCCTTGTGTATGTAGAAAATCTCCACTGAGAGACTCACTCACCAAAATCAGGTGTGTTACACGAGTTGATTCGAATTATTCATAACAAAACCTACCAGGTGTGTGCACGAGTCGATTCAAATTATTTATTACAAAGCCTTGAGGAACTGAGAGGACAACAAAAAATAAAAATAAAATATTTATATTAATTAGTTATTTGAGTGGAACTTATATTATATTAAAAAAATAATTTTATTTTATTTTTTATTGAATAAAAATATAATAGATATATAAACTATAAAATTTCATAATAACTTAATTTATTTTTTATTTTTTTTATTTACTATCGTTAATTTTTAGTTTTTATATCATTGAAAATTAAAATAAATTTCAAAATATAAGTCACAAGTTAATGCAAATAAAAAAAGGGAAAATGATATTATCATCAAAATAAATAAGGTCTCAAGCACTATAGAACTTCGGTTCGAATCCGTGCTAAGAAAAACTCAATATTATTTTAATTTTCCATGGCCATAGTCGCTTATCTCTCTCTGTCAACTCGTACTGGGGACTAAGCTTCAGACTGAGTTATTATCAGATGTAAACATCAGGAGCCACAGCTCCGTAGTCAAATGTGTGAGGTGTCACCCTCTTTGCGGAATTAGCTGCTGCAACGTTTCAGTAGCTTTTTTCCTAAGGCTTAATTTGATTTTACTGTACAAACTCTTCCTATCTTTTATGTTTGTACAGCGCAGATATTAGAGTTCACAGACCGTCTATTTTTTAGAAGATAGAAACTCTTCTAATGTCTGCGTGAGATCTTCTTGGTGCATATATGATTTTATGTCTTCAAAGGTCTTTAAACCTCTTCAAGAACAATTATAAAATATGGTTATTTATTAAAATAATTTTAAATAATTTAATAAGGTTATTTATTTTAAAATAATTTATTATAAAATAATTTATTTTAAAATAAATTATTATAAAATATGAATTGATTTATTTTAAAATAAATTATTTTAATTAATTTATTAATAAAATATGGATTGATTTATTTTAAAATAATTTATTTTAAATAATTTATTAGTATGAATTGATTTATTTTAAAATATAGATTGATTTATTATTGTAGTTGTATGGATTGATTTATTTTAAATAATTTATTAGTATAGATTGATTTATTTTAAAATATGAATTGATTTATTTTAAATAATTTATTAGTATGGATTGATTTATTTTAAAATATGGATTGATTTATTTTAAATAATTTATTAGTATGAATTGATTTATTTTAAATAATTTATTAGTACGGATTGATTTATTTTAAATAATTTATTAGTATGAATTGATTTATTTTAAATAATTTATTAGTACGGATTGATTTATTTTAAAATATGGATTGATTTATTATTGTAGTTGTATGGATTGATTTATTTTAAATAATTTATTAGTATAGATTTATTTATTTTAAAATATGGATTGATTTATTTTAAATAATTTATTAGTATAGATTGATTTATTTTAAAATATGGATTTATTTATTTTAAATAATTTATTATTACGAATTGATTTATTTTAAAATATGGATTGATTTATTTTAAATAATTTATTATTGTAGTTGTATGGATTATTTAAATTTCAGTATTGTAAAACTAAAATTATTTAAATCTCAGTATTGCAAAACTCTTTTAAGTTTAAAAAATCAATTTATTTATATTTTAGTTTATTTTAGCAGTCTGCAGACGTTAAAAAACAAGCAGTCTTCTTCTTGCAGACTGCAGACTTTTGGTCCACCTATTCTGATGCAAATGCCTGCAAATTTGGTTCGCAAACTACAGACCTTTTACCTCTGCAAAATGTTTGTAATCAACTTACACCACAGATACATTGCACCCTTTGTGTATGAAAAATCAGCATCATCCTTGCCATGCATGTTCTCTTTTTTATCCATGGCCGACGTACCTTCCAGACTTGAAGGTCACAACTTTATTTAGACGAGCTTGAAACTCAGTCCAGTCTGACAAGCTTGATGCGGCCTCTTCAATGGTCCCCTTTTCTTGATGATCAATATGTATATCACTGCCTACCTTCAGAAAAAGAAATTTATAACGCTGCTACTCCCTACTGTGTGATTGGTCCCACCCCCTCATAGTTGGGAGATCCTTTTTTTCTGTTTTTTATTTCTTCAAACCATATGTATATATGTTAACCATGTCGTTGTATTAACCAGCTCATTATCAATGGAAGCGTTTGCAACAAAAGTTGCCAGTCTTGCTCAGAAAGTGGCTGGAATTTTGGCAGAGAAGTTAGGTAACAAATCAAGTTTTTTCCAGGAAAGTTGTTTGCCAAGCACTATCTATCTCCGACTGAACAGATACCCACCCTGCCCCATTCCTTTAGACATTTATGGTATAATGCCACACACCGACAGCGACTTCATCACCATATTGCGTCAAGATGAGGTTGGGGGTTTACAATTAGTGAAAGATGGGAAATGGATTTCTGTTAAACCCAATCCCGATGCTTTAATCATCAACATTGGAGATTTATTTCAGGTTAAAATAAAACTTGTTTATAGGTTCCCACGATGTTAAAAGAGGCTACTGAGTAGGATGGATGTTTGTGCAGGCTTGGAGCAATGGTTTTTATACAAGTGTTGAACATTGTGTGTTCACGCATCCAACAAAAGAAAGGTTTTCGGCTGCCTATTTCCTTTGCCCATCTAATGAGACTGTGATAGAGAGTTGCAGCAAGCCCTTGGTTTACACCAAGTTTAGCTTTAGGGAATATAGGCAGAAAGTCCGTGAGATGTTCAACTATACGGTTATAAAGTAGGGCTCCCCAGGTTTCTTCCATAAACATTTTCACCAACTAAAAATAATATCAATTGCAATTTGCATCTTCTACCTAAGGTCATTGCAATACAAATGTTAACTTTAAGAAGCATAAGTCTAATTAGGGATATGAACAAGTTGAGTTCAGTTCCACTCAACTTTGAAAGCTTTCAAGTTTAAAAATATCAAATTCGACTCAAACTCAATAAAATAGAACCGAAACATTCTCAAACTTAGCTCATTTGAAGCTCAAACTTAAACATTGAGTACATAAAAACCATATATTATATTTTTCTATAAAAGAATATAAATGTTAATATTATTAATAATTTAATTTTAAAATTAAAAATTAATGTTTTATTTTTTCTATCAAATATCTCATTTCGGCTCGTTAATAACTTGATTAGAGTTCATTCACAAGTGTTGACCGAAATTTGACTGAATCAAACTAAAATAGTTTACTATCTGTCTCGTCTGGTTTATAGCCCTATCTATGACGTTAACATCATTTTGATATGATGGAATTTGCTTGATTTTGATAAAAGAATAGATAACATGTCAAGTCCTCCAGATTTTTTCAGTTTTCACGAACTAATTTATATTTATTCCTAATTTTGGTACTTTAATTTTGTATTTATTATTATTGATAATGATATATATTTAACTTTTTAATATTAAATAAAAATAAAATAAAGATTGATGCCACTTACAGTGACAGAGAGCACACGAAAAAAAGTGGCGACCGAGGCAGCAATAGGAAAAACAATGATGTGATTGAGGAGTTTACAAAAAGGGAGAAGAAAATGGTGTTACCAGAACGTCAGGCGAATCCAGGTCCAAGACACGGATCTTGGTTCCAATATCACACAAGACTCTAAACTCCACACGGTCACTAAGTGATTCATCTCTTGTTAAATCAGCTTGCATTATGTTAGCTCGATCCTTCGCATTGGTAGCTTACATATTTCGGCTGCTTCATGGTAAAACCTAGGAACCAAGGCTTTTCCCTAATTAATCTAAAAGCCTCGAAGGAATCCCACAGTACATAACGCTGAACCCAGTCTCCATGTATTTGATCCTTGCCTATCGGGATTCACCGCTGCAAAAAGCAAGTGGATACTTGAAGACAAAGAAGTGATAGTTGGGGATGCGATTCTGTCGAATGGGCAAGGATTAGAAGTGGAGATGCCCATGTATTGAACCCCTAATGGTTGGAGATGGTACTGGGATTTAACAGAGAGATTATGAGAACAGCTGCAAAGACGAGAACTAAGAAAGAAAAGAGAAGCAAAAGAAGAGGAAGAACGAGGGTTGGGGAGGAGGTGGGGCTGAGAGGCCCTCCCTGTCTGTCGTGGTGGTCACCATTGGGCGTTGAATGCATTCTCCTACGTACCTGACTGCTGGTGTTTGAGTTCACGTTTGTGAGAGAGATTTGGTTTTTATTAATATCATAAGGCCCACCCTCACAAACTCTCTGCTTTCCTCGGATTTGTTTGAGCTAAAACTTATTTGCTTAGAGAAAAAAAGAGAGATGAATTCTATCTACGGCCATGCCAAAATGAATTCTACAACAAAAACAAAAAACAAGTTGCTTATTTGTGACGTTAAGAACAAGTTGATCATATGCCAAAATGAATTCTACGACAAAAACAAAAAAAATACAAAAGACCTCGAATAAGACCATCGGCATTGTCTATGGTAATGGTTGCTCAGCATTATCAGGGAGTGGACTAGTGTTAAGAAGCTCTGCTTTGGCAGTCTCATCAGCCCTCCCATTATTATCATCAACATCCAACACATCATCCATCATATCATCCTCCCCAACATTGATATCTTCCACATCTTCCTCGTCTTCATTGTTGTTTCCACCAGGTATCTTTCTCTTCTTTGGACCATGCTCCAGTTTGTGGCTATCCAATTCCTTATCCATAGTTTCTTGTAAGTTCATGTCATTGTTTGCTTTCCTAGCTTTCCGGGCATTTTGACACCTCTCCAACTCCTTCTCCACGTTTCCAACATACTCTTCTCCTATCTGCTTCTGATATTTAGATAATTCCTCCCTCCTACCTGCCTTCCACTCTAGAAACTCCTGTTATGCAAATGCAAATATATACATTAACATTAGCATCACATATTAATAAAAGACAGTTAATAGCACAAGAAAAAAAATGACACCCCTAGCTTCTGGAAGAAGAAAAAAACTAGTGAAGAAAGTTGGTTTTTTTAATATGCTATAACTTTTCTCAGTAAGCCTCAAGAAATAGGGGAGAGAACCTACTTGTTCTTTTTGCTGCTCATGTATGGCCGCATCTTCATTCAATGGTTTAGTTGGCAAATAATATATTGCAGGCTCGGTTTTGGTCCTGAAACACATTCCAAACGCAACCAAAATTAGTCCAAATTTATCAAAGAACTATTGCAATCTACCCAAATCCCAGAAGGTAGGAATTTGTCTTTGGATGCTTCAACACAAATATGCACTTGATCAGAAACTTATCTGTCTCAATAAAATTGTGAATATGGATACTACTGGACCAAAGTTAAAATTAACCTGCAACAGATGGGTATGCAGAAAGGGTGTGTTAATGCTAGAGTCGTTCAATGCCAAATCAATATTAAAGCAGAAAAGATTTTATGCCCCAAAGGAGCTGACACCATATAATACTAAAATTGATAATACATAAATACCTTATAAAATTCCTAAGCTTTTTGTGGTGCTCACTCCACTGAAGAAACAACAACTCCAGCTTCTTTTCTTCAGCCTTCGCAGCCACACGAGCCCTGAGAGTCTGAAACAAGAAGCAGAAAGCAATAAGAACCATTTACTTCCTTCTACATTGAACACTAACAGCAATAACGGTCAATAACAACCAGATCTCTCCTCCTCTTTTCTGCAATCTGTTCACGCTCTTGTTGCCTCAGCTTCTCACTTTCTTCACGAGCTCTTTGCTCAGCCTACAAAGAGACCCAAACACGTAGTGATCAGCAAATCTTCAAACTGTTCAATGATTATTTATTTGTAATTGACACATAAAATTAGGAGTCTCATGGAAACCCCAATGTTTATTCCAGCCAATTGATAATACTTTCGTATTCCCTAAGAATCACCGAGCTTTCATAAGAAATCAGAAATTACAGTATGAAAAAACCCAAGCTTACTCTTTGCAAAGAATTTGATCGTCTCATAAATGCCTCTGTCCCCGAAAGTTGCTTATCTTCTCTCCTGAATCTCTGCAAAAATGCAAACAAAAAGAAGATATCATTATGAATCTACAAAGGCCAGCACATAGAAACAGGTAACACTAGAGTTAAGTACAAGGAAATGATAGGTTCTCCAAGTTCCAATTCAAGAATATATTGACATAAAACCATCCAAACGGAGATGGGAGGCTGAAATTGATTATCTACAAAAAAGAACTTTATATTGCAACTGTTGTGCAACTTTGCAGTTCACAGCATCTTGTTAAGCCATTTCTTTAGATCTTTGCTTTACTTAATAAAGTTTAGGCAGTCTCGTATCAATCCTGAGAAGGAATTTCAATAATTATCAATTCCCTAAGACAGCAATTACAACATAAATACCTCCAAAGTCCCTAAAAGTTGCCCCAACATCCTTCTATTCCTATTAATCAAGCTCGGGTCCTCATCCTTGGGCAGAATCCTTGGAACATGATCTGCAATTGGAACTTCAGCATCCTAACAAAAAAGACAACAAAAAATATCATGCATTCATGGACCTAAATAATGTCACGGCTCTATAAAATTCAAATTTAGAGTGCAGAAAAACCTTCTTCAGTCTTTGGTTTCCATCCCTTCTAGACCAACCATCTTGCTGCAGAGTTGACTGTTTTATATCACTCTCATCTACTGGACCAGATCCTTCAACAGCAATGTCACTGACATCCTTTTCCACTTCCTCGTCAACAATCTCTCCATCTTCCACCTTCAATCCGAAATTAAGAAAGTTGTAATAGAATGTTTCAGACCCCATAGAAAAAATGGTATAAAGGAAGTGCAAAGAAAATCTACGTAAATCCAGCCTTGCTCAATCCAGCAAGAAAAGGTTTACCTTTACAACAGCTGACGACAATCGCTTCTTAGCCGGAGGTTGATCTTCTACATCTGTCCTATCCGCCTACAAGCATTAAGAAAAGAAACTAGAAAAATTTCAAAAGCCCTAGAAGGAGAAAAGGAGCATAAACAAGACTTGAAGAGAAATATAAACATACAGGTCGAAGAAAGCCACGTTGAAGAGAACCATTGGATGCAAAATTACGAGGACCGATGCTCGACAACCCTCCCCTTCGGAGCCCTCTAGGATCCCTCAGCCTCTCCGTAATCTATAATATATCATACACAGATTAATTAAAAAATATGCATCTTCACGGTATACTGTAGAGTCACATTTAAGAGAAAAAGGCAAAGAGAAACCTCTCGTTGTTGGCGATGAAGCTCATCGATCTCTCGCTGAAGCTCATCAGCTGTCTTATCGACTGTGGTGCTCCCCATTTGAATTTTTACTTCGATAATCTGTTAGAAAAGACGACCAATGTTAACTCAAAAACCCTTGGAAGAGATTTTTTTTCTTTCTTTTTTAATGGTCGATAATTGGGCAATCCGCTGTTCAGGTTGAAATCCAACACCCCACTTATATCACAACCCATTTATAATCTTTTTTTTCCTACTAGATTATCTTAATAAGGTAATTGTAAAAATAGAAAGTTGAATTAATTTAGAATTTAAAGATAATACGTATCTTTCACCAGATCCAATTTAGTCTTCTCAACAACTCTAGCATATATTTCTTATGACTTAGAAGCATCAACTTTCCCCATTTCTGAGCTTCATTACCAAGGAAATATTGGAGTTCACCCAAATCCTTTATTGGAAAGCTTTGCGCCTAAACAAGTCATCACTTCTTCTATTTCTTGTTTGATTGTCTAATGATAATAATATCATCAAACTAGACAAGTATATATATATATATATATATATATATATGTGTGTGTGTGTGTGTGTGTGAAAATACCCTTGTTATTCCTTGCAAACAAGGACACATATAAAGCCCGTCTCAACTAGATATTCTGAGTTTTTCATACCAATTTGAAAAACTTGGAACTACCAAATAATAAAACTTTCCTTGAAATCTGTAGAACAAGTAGACTCAAAGACATCTCAGTGGACATACATAATATAGTTCATACTTCAAGCATGCTAACACTTGGAAAGTAAGGTTGGCCTGCCTACGGTAAAGAATTGCAATATTTCCATAGGAGTAACTACCAACAGCTCAGGGACGGCGGCGGCAGAAGGAACATCGACGTCCGACGGTGGGGAAATTAGAAAATAACAAGAAGAAAAGAGAATTCAGAAGCTTACCAGAATATTTCACAGTGGACCCACGGGGGCCTTAAAAATCCCGAGATGTTTTCTCTCGTTTCACCCAATCGGTGGGCGAAGGGAGAGTACGGCTATCTAGGTTCTACTTGCGATCAACTGTTGAAGTAGATGATAGCCTCCGATTATGCATAAGACGACGGGATGAAATGGCCGGAACTTCGCCTGGAAGTGGGAAGGGACAGAACAGAACGAAAAGTTAGACAGGGGGATATTAAATGACGGTTCCTCCTCCCGAAACTTCAAAAGATAAATTATATACCATAGAAATGCGTAATTTGATAGGCGTGACCTTGTAAGACACTAGGTTTTATAGAGTAAGTATCCATTTTTAATCCGAGCTCACTTTAGTCCCCCTTTTCTATTTTGGCCACTAGTGAGTATCATTTTATATAAATCTATAATTAAATTTATATATAAATATTTTTATTATTAAATATGAACTTAAGACGAATTAAATTCATGAAAAATTTATTTAAAATTTAATTTGATATATTAAATAAATAACTTTTTTAAACTTTTGAAAAGTAACTTTTAAAAGTGATCTTGAAGATTGAAAAACTAATTAAGACCGCAAGCGTACCTGAATTCATTGTCAAAGATTATCTAGAAAGTTGATATCTTAAAGATTGTGATCATCCAAGAATATATAATTTCTTTGCATATAAACTCTCCAATGGGGATAAGATAAAATACGAGATATCTACTTCTTTGGGTCCATAACCCTTTTATATAATTGATTGAATTAATTATTGTCTCTACTTATAACTACGTCTCTCATCAAATTATAAATACAATTTTAATAATATTTACATTTTTATTTTTGTGATAATTCTAATACCTTATACCTTATAACATGATAATTTAATTTATTTATATTTTATGATAACAATATACATTATAAATATGTACTGATTTTAATCGAACACGGTACTTTTGCGAAAGCTAGAAATTCAATCACCTTCCGTTCTCAATAACTTCTCCGACATAGCCATTCCATTGAGAAGCGAGACCAAAATTGATTTCAGAGACTTTTGAAAATAATGTTGATTTTGCTTTGTTATAATTAGTTGGGTATATTTTTTAATATCGGATATTATTTAATTTGAAATTTTAGGTATTCAAAATTTTGAATTATCAAAATTTATTTCTATTTGATCTGAAAAAATTAGATATATGAATTTTTTATATCCAAAATTTCGAATTGAATATAAATTTTAATTTAGTATTTCATAACTTTATATAATATATTATCTACTGTATTATATTATATTTTAACAAAATATGCTTGAACAAAATCGAAACAAATTCTAATTTTTCAGGCTGGCTGGCTAGTGTCACTAGTTAGGGCGCACATTTTAATTTTAAGGTTGACTGGGTAGGGCAAAATTGGTTCAATATTGTTGGCGGGTTAATTATTTAGTCTAAAATAACATTAGGTAAATGATTTAAAGATCTACGATAAATATATAATACAGGTAAAACTCGTTATATCAATATGATGAATTTTAATAAAAAAATTATTTTTATTCAAAAATTTCACTCTATGTGATAAATTATAATAAAAATTATACTTTTATTTGAAGATGACCTAATTGGCTAAATTTTTTAACGCGCAGACTTATTGGGTCAATCTCATCTACTGGATAGTGGCTGGGGCGTTGGCCATTTTAAATTTTAGGTTAGGGACGGGCTGGTTGGTTAGAGTCATTAGGACATGGGTAAATTTTTTAAAGGCCATTTTTTATCGAGTTAATTATGTCATATGTCTCTAAATTATAACTTTCATTTTAAATAGATCTTTAAACTTTTGAATATTATAATTTCATCCCTAAAATCATCCAAATATATAATTAGTTTCAACCATGGTTCAACCTAAATTGTTTTTTCAAACATATAATAATATAACTAGCTAAACGATTTTATTAATAAGAAATGTGATTAATATTTATGTATAGTTTGATATAAATTTGAAATGTTTAAAAAGTTTGAGGACCACTATAGGATGAATGTCATAGTTTGGCGATGAAATTCAAATGTTCAAAAGCCTGAGAACTAACTTAGAATGATAGCCATATTTTAGGGATTAAATTGGAATATTTAAAAGTTTAGGGACCAATTTAAAATGAGTCATACTTTGAGGATATGTGATGCCATTAGCTCATTTTATCGGATATTCGGATAACCCAAAATTAAATTTTAGTCAATTCGTATCCGATCTGATTATCCGAATTTTTTTGAATATCCGATCCAAACTATTTGAAAATTAAAAAAACGAATCAAATGTCTGAATTTTCAAATCGGATCAATGGATCAAATTTTTTTACACACCCTTACTCATAATAGATAAATTTCTCATGCCTTCGAATGTTAATAACTAAAATATATGTCTTTCAATAAGCACCCTTCTTTTCGTTGTGGTTTAGGGGAAAAAAAGGAGAATACAACATCAAGCTACGTGTTAGAACTAAAAAAAGGATATCAGCCAATACAGATAGTATAGGAATTCAATTTTAAAACCTATTGTATTGTAGTGTATTTACAGTGAAAGATTAAGAAAATGGCCAAAATAAATGAAATATTAAGCCATTAAAATATCGAAGATGAAGAAATCAAATTCCTTTAGAAACATTGATGATTAAATTTAACTGCATCTGTTTTTGTTGAGCAATTAGACCACGGGCATACATACTTTATGATCAATTAGTGAACATCAACCACATTGTAATACCCCAAAAATTTCAACAAGTGACTAAAATGTAAAATTTGAAAGTTGGTGGTTAAAGAATAAAATTAGAAAAGTTCAAGGAATTAAAGTGTAATTTTGAAAAAATATATATATTTTGGTCCCATAATGGATGGTTACCTTAAAAGAATGATTTTTGTATCGGTAAGATTTTTATCCGGAATTTATAGAAAAAGTTATTGATCGGTAAAGTTCGGTAAAATAATCGGATATTTGAACCGAATAAAAAATTTACAAAAATTTAAAGGATGGTATTATGAGTTAGAAATGTTGTTTTAGAATTTTTAATGTGAGTGATTCGAAGCGGATAACTCGAATTAAAAGAATTTACCCTATTTTAGTGAAACTATGGAATTTAGTGACTAAACTGAATTTTTGGAAATTAAAAGGACAAAGATAAAAATTGAGAGATGAAATTTTTATAGTTATTTATTAATATTAAAATGGAGATGAAGGAGTGGCATGGAAGTAAATAATCAAATTCACTAATGGCAATTTAGCCTTTTGGCCCAAAAAGGATAATAAATTCATTTTTAATTGTATTCTAAACGTGAAATTGGGAGATTTTTTCAAGGAAAATTCACGAAAACTCTCTCTTCTCCGGCTGCTGGACGTCCTCCATAGCTAAGGTAAGCAAAGCTTTGTTTTTCAATTTTTGAGCCATTTTAATTAGAATTAGGACTTAAGTGTGAAATAAGAAATTGTTCCTCACTAAATTCTCTACAAATTGGTATAAGTATTGCCTTGTTTCATGTTGAAATGTGAAAATGAGTTTTTATGGTGGATGAAGGGGAAGTGAGAAATCAATGAAATAAGATTGGATTTTGATGTAGGGAGTGTTATGGAAGCATAAACAAGCATAAAAATTGATAAAAAAAATCATTAAGGGACTAAGTTGAAAGCATTCGGTCATGGTGGGTTTGAATGAAGAAATGTTGATTTTGATTTGTTTTTGTTATGGTAATGATTAGAATGAATGGAAATGTTTTGTAGGTGATGAAACCAAGCTTGAATCAAAGTTGGAGACCATTAAAGAAAGTATCCAAAACTTGTGTCAATGGAGAAAAAAATAGGAAATTTTGTATAAAAATTTCTTTTGGGTTTAAATTATATAGAAGGATTATTTCATTAGGTTTGAATTAAGTTTTGGGTCAATGTTAAGCTTAGAGGATCTTTTTGCAAGTTTTGAGAAGTTGGAGGATTGTAAAGTAAATGTTGAAAAATTGTGGTACTATGCTGGAAATTAGTATAAGAAAGTTCATTTGGTTTAATTTGGAAGAATATATATATATATATATATATAAGTTTAAATATCAAATTGCAAAGTTTGGAAAAGTTTAGAGTTAAATGGTAATTAAGAAATGTTGGTATTTTACATTGTAAATTATAGTTAGAATGGTTGAATATGGTGATCGAAGTGTACTTAAAGTAAGTGATAATGGACTAGTTTGAAAACCTTCAAAACTTTGAGTTTGATTTGAAAGAAATATTTATTTGTGGGTAAAATGTTAGATTGAGAAAAGTTAAGTGATTTAAGGTTAAGAAATATTGTTTTCAATGATTAGGAAGGTTAGTGGTGAAATTCCAAAAGTGCAATATTAATATTCCAATTAAGAAGTATTGTGTAAATGGTGGAATGGAAAAATGACGATAGAATGTTGAAATTGGGTTGATTTGGAAAGGTTATAAAAAGTTGAGGAGTAATTTATAAGTATTGGAAAATTTAAGTGACTTAAGGTTGAGAATTATTATTTTCAAGTACTAGGGAGGTTATTTGGCATGAGTTGAGTAGAATTAATTAAGTTATAGAAATTAGTATTGAATATTTATTTACCGTATTTTATCAGATTGTATACGGATGCGTGTTTAACAAGTTGGTTAGATACTTAACAAGTTGGTTAGATACTAACATATGTTCGAAATTGTTTATGCCGGATAATTAATTTTTAAGTAGACCGTGGCTGGAATCGAGAACAAAACGAACAAAAAGAAAAAGGAACGAAGTTCAAGAGTGAATTTGGTTAAGTTAAGGTTGATTTCAATTTCAGGGTAGAAATTAGTATCAAATCGAATATTTAGAATTACGATTCGAATTTAATTTTATTATAATAGTATGAGTATTAATGTATGTGAATCATTTATATGTTGAAAATCGATGATCGAAGTAGTTCGTGATTATAATCGAGATCAAAATGAACCGGATATGAGAGTATTAAAGGTGATCGTAGGAAAAACTAGTGAGGCACTAGGTGAGTGCAACTTACTTATTTATATTCGATATGAGGATGACTTGCGATGAGCTAAACTCAAAGGTTTTTGATTGAAACAATTTGAATTATTTTATGAAATATATTTATACTGATTTACTAAATGATTTTTTATATCATTTTGGGTTTGAATAACCTAAATTATATTATTAGATATTTTATTTCATAACATGTGAATATTTTTTGGTGAACTACCCAGATTTGATG